TAACTAAATTATTTGACATGGTGAGTTGATAAATTACATGAACCGACAACTGACGACACGAGTAAGTTCTCATCGGTTGTAGACTTCCTAGTACAACAAATATATATATTTATAATAGTATGTATAATGTATAATATAATGTATATACGTAATGTATATATAATCCCTATATATATTATATACATATAAATCAACACTTTCAATTGACTATTTTGAATCCTCGCCCAAGATATAAGGCTTCGCCTGATTAATGGATGGGTACTTTCATCTCAGCCTTTCTATATTGGTCTGCTGTCGGGCTAGGCGGCACTCAATTACACAGTTTTTAGAAAGCTCTGAAACCAGTGAACTGAGAATGGGCACAGCAACGGTTGTTAGCCATTCGTCACAGGTAATGTAAAAATTGCCGTTCAAGACCTCTAAGATCCGCAATCACTTTTGCGCTACCCTAACATAATACAAACGTCTAACAAACGTTGGTTTTTCTTTCTATTTCCGCATACTCCTTCATTTTTATTTTCATTTTTACTTCGATTTCATTATGAGACGCTGCAAATTCTCAAAATTTGAGCTACGTGTAAAGTGGGATCATTTCCGTTATCGGGCAGAGATTTTTGTACGGGAATTTTTCGTTGAGTAAAAATTTTCCACTAGATAATCAATAAGTTGATAATCCTAAATCTCGGAGACTTCACAAATGTACATTTTGGAAAAAGGATCTTCTTACAGCGCTGTGGCATCCAAAGAATATTATGTCACAAGTGTCGGGTTTATCGCGCTTTTCTCTTACATGACAGAGCTCCTCCTTTAGCCTATTGCTAAACATTCGATAGTATAGTCTCAGCGATCCAACACTTGACTAGTATTTGAAAAGGTTGCTTCGCTGTATGTAGTAGGAAGAATATTATTGAATTTGACATGAACTGCGTGTATCGATAGCGGCGATCGATAGACCACGCATCTGCGATTCACATATGGAGTGCTACTCTTGCTATTGAAATTAGCATATTTTCCCCGTTTGATAAGTAATCTAGATGAAACCCGCTATCCTAATGCTTGGAAATTTTCTTTGCAGTTCAAATGCTTTTCGTGCTTAGGCTTATTCTGTTGAGGCCTAGTCTAAGGCTTAAACTCAATAGCAGCTTTCATTGGGCAATTTATACAGAAAATGGAAAATCCTGGGCACCAGAACGATGGACAACGTTTCTTTTCCACTGAGTGCAAAACTTAAAATTCTTCACAACGCAAAAACAGTTTCTATACAAATAACAAAAATATTCTCAAATTCGTGCGACTGTGAGTAAATCACAATATTGTCTTCTATGCTACAAAACTGTATGGAGGCCGCTTTGGAAAGAGCTATATTTTTGAAATCTCCGAGATTTAAGTTTTTGAATGACTTCTAAGAGTTTAAACGCAAAATCTCTGACCAAGAAAAGAGGTCTCTTCGAAGAGACTCTGTCCGATGACGAAAAAAATCCATAAAGTTTTCCGACGTATTTACAATTCTGATAGGCAATGTAATGGGTAATCCTTGACTGATATATAGCCGAGGTCATTTTCTATTCTACTTTATGTAGTAACTCTAACTCACCACTACAGGCGGTAGTAATTGGCTGACTCGGACTATGTTGTTTATAATAGCGCAAGCCGCTAAACATACGGTAGCTACTATGTGTAGGGAGAGGGATATGAATACCTAAATAAGTCATTCAAGGTAATGAGATAGCATTCGGTTTGTTAAGTTGACGATAAAGTGGGATAGTTAATCAAACGTTTGCAGTACGCCAGCCTTGATGAAAGAAAATGATACTATCATTGCATGCATTACCAATGGTTATCTCGTGATCTGATCGATTGATATGAATCTATATCTGTACATCTAATTATGTTATTTTTAATGTTTTTTTCTTAACTTTAGATTTTACTCATACCTTAAAATCTTCAGCATTTTGTAGAACATCATAAACTGTTTCTGATGACGTGTTTCTACTAGTTGAAAAAATCTGAACACTTGGTCGTCCGGTAACGAAAAGGAACAAATCGATATTGATATGAGTAGTCTAAATACAGTCTGCCTTAATGGCGTTAATGCACTTGAAATATTTGACACTGCCATGATTTGGAAACTTTTATTACATTATTTTTGACCGAGTGGTCCAATAATCTTTGTCCTTTACTCGACCGCTTGATTTTAGCTGTTCATAAGGTTCATCACGCCAATGGCTCACGCGCGTTTTGGCCGATCTCGCTCGCCTCGTCAGATCGGATCCACGTCTCAATAGCCACCTTACATAGTAGCGAAGAGGAGGGACGACCGTGTGTGATCGACTGTAAAAAAAGCCCGACGGCATTTTATGTCACCAGGTTTCAATAATGCGCACCCCATCACTATTTGTAGTTGTGGCTTGTGGAGAGTGTGCCTCTGACGAGAAGAACTAGGTCGCCGTAATATACGTAAGCCAGTGGCGTTACAATCCTCAAGAACACCTGAAATGGCCTCTCTGGATAGGCCTACTAATTGTTGAAATCTCTTCTGATCCTAATCCTAGTAACAGAGTAACCATTGTTCATAATCAAGGATCGCAAAACGTTCGTGAACATCATGCAACACCTTGTTGGAAAGAGATGACAAGAAATCCTCAAATTAAGACTCAGCCTACACAAACCAAACTCCCAAATTTGACATCGATGTACGGTTACAAGGTATCGAAAGAAGGAATCATGCTACGATCGATCCAAGCGAAGTATGGAAATTACTGACATTTGTTGCACAAGTATGACCATTGATGAATCAAAATGAACTCACAAGTATAGCAAATAGCAACTGGGAATGAAGTGCTACGAACGCCATTTCTATCAAGAATGAAACTATAAAGAGACGAACTAGCTTTTGTAATAATGCATAGAGAAAAACAACCAAAACTTGTAAGATAATGCAGATAAGCCTTCTCACAATCACTTTTACACACGTTGTATCTTGATTCAGACAATCATGTAAAGAATGGAGGAAGACGACGATAACAAATAGCAGCGAAATCAACATAGAATGTAAAGGCATTTGCTACTTATACCCAATATTGAGTACTGTGCAAAAACGTTTTGCGTCAGCCGGGATTCGAACCCAAATCTCACTCTTTCCGGGAACGTATGCTAACCATTGCACTACCGACGCTAGCATACGCTGCCGGAAAGAGTGAGATCTGGGTTCGAATGCCGGCTGACGCAAACGTTTTTGCACAGTACTCCACATATTGGGTATAAGTATAACATCATACCACTGCAAGTGGCAGTCAAAATAGAAAGAATTTAGACTGGATCATTTTGCTACTAATTGATGTTCTCATGACATGCTTTTAGCTATAATATCTAGAAAATTTGGCACAAACTCACTTTTAGTCTGTAGAAAAATGAAATATGAAAAGGGATGTCGTTTAAGGTCCATAATTCTGTAAGGGATGCGCCACGCAATGCGCCTTATGAAGCATCATTGGACGTGATCAAGTATCAGTCTGTACAGTGGCTCGAGGTGGCCTACCAGTGTAGCATATCACTACTCCTATCCTCTTTGAGACTTCTCGTACAATCGCCCTGATGGATGGAGGGCTTGATCGGCTAAGACATGGAAGCGAACCACTGATAAATCCATTGTGTGTGTCGAAGAGCACCTTCAACCACTGCACTACATTAGCCCATGTCGCTAAATAACTGCTGAATAGCTTGTTTCAGATTATAATAAACATAGTAACTGTGATAGATTACCTATAAGATCGAGCACCAGAAGATTCGCTGTGTCATGAAGTCTCACAGAATAAGGAAGATTCCGCTATTTACGTTTTCTGCCCATTCTACGGCATGAACAAAAGCAACGATTCACTATTTTTTACCTTGACATTTGAATTTCTCGTCTCCAGCGTTAGTGCAGGTCTCAAAACAATCTCCATTTGTTTCTTTCTCGAGCAAATGTCGTCTATGGTGCACTTCGTTGCGAATATGTTGACGCCCACAAGGCCCATTTTGTGGCACCGCCAATTTCGAATGCAGATAGTTGACGTGAAAATTCTATGTTTTATCTTTTTATGGCTACTGGAACTTCTATTATGCAACTATTCAATACTATGAGCATTATCTATCGTGGCGATCGTTGACGAAGGACATGTGTACTGATTTTACGTTCGTCTAATGACTCTTCACCTTATTTTCTCCAGACGGAAAAAAGTTTTCCTTATTAGAAGAACTGCTTGTTAGTTCAGAATTCGTCGAATAATGGTGAATTTTCTGATCTGAGATGTTATTTTCCGGAATCACTTAGTTAAATCTCTTATAGATTGCTGATCATCACTCTTGAAACACATACATCCAAGTCATTGATTTTAAGCGCTCTAAATCTTTTTTCTACTTGAGTGTTCATCTTGTGAAATTCTGTATTTCGCCCCGTCTCTACGAACTTTCAGTCATCAATAAGACTCAACCGTTTTCAAGTATTAGCATACTTCTGGAGTTGAGACAAGCTATCTAATGAGCAATCTTTGTAGCTGCCCTCTCATTTTTCTAATATTGATATTTTGACACTGCGATAAGAAATTACTTACTTACTTACTTAATAAGTATATCATTATCATATCATTAGGATATCATTGAACTATTTTTCTAGTTGAGAGAACTAACAAAGCGTCAACTTCTTTTGAAGACTGGAGCGCTTCTTTTCTAAAATCTAAGTTGTCGACGTGTAGTATCCAAAGTTGATAGGTTTACCCACATTTATCACCAGAGTCATCTGTTTTTGTTCACCACTCAATTTTCTTAGTTATATAAGTAACATCATAACACTGCGAAAAAAACAGTAAAAAAAATCTATAATTTCGAAGTATTAGATATAACAGTGGCTGTCAGCTTAGCGGGATTTATAAAGCGAAATCGCATATCCGACCAAACCTGTTAAAGGTTGATGGCTGATAGCTAACATAGAGATGTTGAAGAATGAGTGGTCGGGCAAATGTGCCTCAGTGGTGTAGTGGTAGAGCACGCGTTTCCCGGATAGGATGAAACGTGGGTTCGATTCCTGACTGAGGCCGTGTTTTTGCTCACCACTCAATTCTATTTATATAAATAACATCATAACACTGCGAAAAATGCAATAAAAATACTATGATTTCGATGTATTAATATATTGTATATGCCTATTGATTGTGATAATTCGTTCTATTGTTATTGCGTAGTTTTTTATTTTGTTACGTTATACTGTGTTTTGTATTGCTTACGGTTACTGCTATAATTCAGTCATTCTCGTCTTTTATCCTTACTCAAGTAATCCTGATGAACACTCATGGGGCAGAAGGAGAAGTATTTTCTCGAATTCTGAGAGAAGAAAGACTGCTTATGCGAATTTCTATGTGCAAATTTTTCGGGGGCTTTTCAGGAAAGGCATTAAGTCCAATCTATCACACCTTACACTTCCAAGTAATTTACTGCATTACTTCACCAATGAACACCCGTGTGATCTGTCAATTTATTCCCGCTATAATGCTTTCAATAAATATCGGTAAGTGGAAAAGTTTGTCTCAGACACATCGAGAGCCAGTCTCAGTTTCCGCCGACAGTGGCAAATGCCAAGAAGGAATGCATTCCAAACGGACCCGATGCCAGCATTCGAACAGCTTTGTTCACTACGTTTTGCCAGATCGCATTCGACCAGTTAGCCATGATAACGTTTGTTGTCTGCACAGAATTTTTTTTAATCAAGCTAAAAAGTATAAACACGAAAGTTTTTCAAACCGTAAGAGATCCGGAATTTGTCAAGTGTGCGTTGGGAACACCTTCAATTCTCGTTCACTTTTGGTGTATCACATTGCCCTCTCATCTTCATGACCTTTGTGCAAACTCCCGTCACCGTGTTTCCGACGATAATGCATTTATCGTCCATATCCTGGACTGCAAGAAGCTGTGAATTTCAGAAAAACTAATTCCTCTACTACAGTAGAGAAATCAGACAGCTGGAGAGAATTTTTGGCATTTGTTTTTTTTTTTTATTCATAAACATTTTTCGGATGATCAGCGCACATTGTATGCTATATCGTTCTCAGGAAAGAATAGTCATATAGAGAGTAGCACCGATTCTAAAAATTCTATTAACAGCGTGACTACGGCAATAATTTTGTATACTTTGACACTTTCCTGTACTTTTTATATGTGTTCGCTTTCGATATACACTAACAAGCACATTTCTGGTTTATTATTGGATGTCATATGTCTTTTGAAGTCTTTTAAACGAGTGTCCAATAACGAAGACCTACCGTTGTCCTTCGTTGGATCACTAATAGCTTTCTGACACTGTAGTGGTGTGTAATTGATCTTAACTTCAAGTCGACTCAAAATGTTGAGATAAAGCATCAGGTAAGAGAACACCACGAGCTTGACGTTCAAGAACATCAAAGATCTGAAAAGTACATTTTTCTCACTAATTTGAGATGTTTATTTGGAATTGCTTTCAGACAAATTGTAAAACTATGCAAGTCATGCTGCCGCTTGAATGCTAACGATTTGTAGAAACCTCATGTTCACCTCCTCTCCGTCTTTTTATTTTGACAAAAAAGAAAAAAATACGCAAATTGTGAAAGTAGCAAACTAACTGTTTGCATTACAAGACGTTGTACAAATGCCTTAGCTCTCCCCTCACTGGATGCAATGCTAGGTGTTTGAACGGAGAGTTCAGTTGCTCCTACAACCATGGAAAAAGGCAAACTGAAACCGGAACGGTAAAGTTCCCAGTGCTTGCTGCAATGAATTTCGTATTCATAATAAATAGCAAATTTAGATAATTATGTTGAGATTTCTTGGTGAGTTTGACTTTTCAAATTCTACATTCAAAATTCTTTTGTCAAAGTCTTGAATTAACAAAGCTCATGGGTACTGATGATGTTTTAGATATATCTATTCTCATTAGTCTTCGTGAAATTACATGTAAAATTGGAATTTATCTGATACAAAACCGTTTTTCGTTCATTACATTGGCCTGCAGGCATCACTCCACATCCTAACTCTGTTGAAATTGATGCCAACAACGGTATCATGGATAAATCTGTCGGAAGTCTCGCAATGTTTGTGCTGGTGTTATTTTACCTTCAAAACAAGTATTGTAGATTTGACTGAAAAGAAATATCCCATTTTTTTGCGTCAGATGATAGACAGAGAAATAAGAGATTCAGTACCCATCATTTATAAGCAAATGGCATCGTCAGGCGAGGTGTTCTGACTACTCGAGGAGCTTCAAGTGATCCCACCCCACTCAATTCAACGCTGATCCCTTAGAAGCAATTTCTGCGGCATCGACATTCGATCAAATTTATTTTGAATTTTCAAGATGCGTGAAAGGTAACGACTGCAAAATACGTTTGCTAGTGCTCGAATCTTTAAGTGGCGCAGCTTAAAATCGGTACCCGCCTTCTCATTTGTAATACTGCGGCGTACAATCGTAATTGTAAGAAATAAAATATTCGCAGTCGTCAACACGTTCAAATTACAGCCGCACTCTTAAGAAAAATCTGCAAAATTTGGACATCGATTGACAAAACGGGGCACATTTTGGGTGGAAAGGTTTTTTAGAATTAGTTCCTGAGAGGCTTGTTGCATTTGTTATACGTTGCAGTTCTCATTGCCTTTCACTTCAATATGCTTATGAAATCTCTTCAGCTAATAGAAGCGTCGAGTGACACCTAGAATAAGAACTTCAGAAATTACTGAATGATTCAGAGACAGGAACGGAATAAGGTGACACCAGAAATTTACCAGTATGTGAAATAAAAGGACTTTTGTGTTAAAGGTTGTCATAGGAAAATCAACGACATCAAGGCATCAAGTTCTATCGCGAGGCGCAATAGTACGATGGACAGTGCATCAAGATGAGAAAGTAAAGCGGACGTTCTCAAAAAGGCTACTCATCTAACACTTGGCAGATGTTTCCTTATTCGTTTCTCAAATTTTCTACGTTTTTAATAAAGGTGATGTTTATGGAACGTCGTCGGTTTCTTCACGACTTGCAGGCAAAACCCTGTTGATTATGGCGTGTAGCACAAGACTGACAAAAATAACATTATTCGGCTAGTTTTTTGACGCACTCATCCTCTTCAAAGCAGATGATTCACGTCGTTTGCTCACATTCTTTCGCCTCCGCTGTGATCTCCGTGTACGTTATCGATCGAGTCGCATCTTCTCCGGTGGGTATCGGTTTACCGGCTAATCATCAAAAATCTATGATTGATTGGTAATAACAAGGGTGAAGGAAAGTCGGTTTTTCATATAACCAAGTAAGTGCACGTTTATTATAGTGAAGCCTCATTCAATTCGTGCTACGGTCTCAAATTCTTCAGCTTCAAAAAATTTTCTTTTACAAAGAAACTAAAAATTTGGAAATGCTGTTCATTGAGGTAAGTGATCAGCGAGCACATTCCGTATTTTCGGTTTTTGGATCACTACTTTTCATTCCCACGATCACAAGGCTAGCTATTGCGGCGATACCAACTGAGCTGATTTACTTGCAGGTATAGCAAAAGCCTTTCTATTCATGAATGTTGTCGCTGAACTTAGGTCTCAAAGAATTTGGATGTTTTTTTTGTGCGACGTTTCAAGGGTACCTACTGTTGCTTGTCATTAAAAAAAGCGCTACACTTCCGTTGACCGCATCCTTTTTCGACCTCTCGAGGAAAACTTATTTTCGCATTGTTTGAGTTGTCATTCGATAGCAGAAATAAAGAGATTTTGATGATGTATTTCATTTTTCCAATCGCTTTATTATTGCGCTGAAACAACAGGAATGAAGCTATCTTTCTTCCTCAAGCATTCCTCGCTGAACAAAATTTTTCACTTAGACTTTCAGTAATCAGTCGAAAGCTTGATTCTCGAACATTCAAACTATGTGTTTGGTTCTTTGGAAAAACTTCTTAATGCGTTGTGACAATCAAAAAAGATAGAGTTTCGCAATTTGGCACCGGAAAAAGAGCTGTGGCTTGGTATCGACGTTGCGCAAATTTATTCAAATCGTGCTGCGCGAAATTTAGCATTCTTTTGACTGCCACATCAAACTAAATAGTCTTTTCAAAAACCAGTAAAGTTATCAGAGTTGCCAAAGTCCACACTATCAAAAGGTTTCTTGACGTGTAGAGGAAAAGCTCTGTTCAACGAGAAATGTTTGAGTGAGAAACATGATATTTTTTACTTTTGCAATGCAACAATAAAGTAATTTTGAGAATAAGGCACGCCATTGGAGTTCTTTTGATTTCTATCGCGTGAGTATTGAAACTTGCAAAAAGACTAAGAAGCGCGCTTTTTGCGAAAGGTCGAAACAAGGCGCGGTTGACGGTACAGTACCACAAAACAACACGGCGTGGAACATCGGCAAGCCTCAGCTCGTGGTCTCAGCTGCTTACACGCTCGAGGTGTTGTTTAGTAATATCAATAGCCCTTCCTCGGTACATCAACAGTTTAGCGATTAGGTAGTGGAAGAAATTATCTGTCAGATTGCAATACTAAACAAAGAACGGTGGCGTGAGCGTGTCAGACTGAAAAACCTTTCATTCTGGGTACTGCAGGTGAGCATTTGCAATGAGAAACTTTCCGATTTATGTAAGTGACATTACTTTTATGAGCAACAAAAGGGAGCTTTCATCTCAGCTTCAGTAAGCTGAAGCGAATTTTCAAATCGGAAGATAATAACTCAGTTAGTTCGTTTACAAATGGCAAATGGAAAACACTGTCAGCGCCGTAGAATCATCGGCTCTGTTATGAGTTTTGTGAACGTCAATTGAAGCTGAATAAGCACTTATGTGATGTAGCACTTCCGCGTTGTAAGAGCTGCGTGTTGTTTTGGCTGAGATGCTCCAAGAACGGTTTTGTAACCCTCTGTTCTTGCACTCCAAATGCAGTACTGTATAGACTCCACGAAATCAACCTTTCCTTTGTAAAACTATTTGGTCGAACCTTATGCCAACAGAATCTTTTCACAGCGTTACTTCATATGAATTCTTGCGTAGAAGGCGTCAGATCATTTTGACATTACTGGGCTTCGGTGTGAAAGAACAA